TACCTCAACTTGCTCTTGTTATTGTTGCTTTTAATAATCCCTGACCCAGCATGGCTTATGACTCTTTATATCTATGCTTTCCTTGACTGAGACTTGTCCCTTGACAAGTTTTTCCTTCTACTCTATGAAAGTTGTTTGCATTGGGCCCGGACACTCTAAAGCTGTATTACACTTCCATCCTTCTTACATTTTAGTAGAGCTATACATTGCATGTGGGATCTTTTTGTTAGTCTGACAAGTTGGAAGTAACCTGTGCCTACATTGACCATGCATCTGCTAGCATTTCCTGCATTTCCCCTTCCATGGGAACAAACTTACCGAAAAGCGCCCTGCTGGCTGTTCGACAAAAAGAAGCAGGCGTTCGACAAGTTGACTGGTGGTTGGTGCATTGAGTGTCTGATTTTAGTTCCAGACACTCGACGACCAACCACCGCTGCCTGCCTTTGTGCGAACAAGATGGCCGCCGTTTTCCCGAACATGTGGTGGAAGGAACTATCAATTGCCACTTAGTTTTGACAAAACTAGCCAGGGGTGGTCGGTGGTTCGGTAGTTTTGAAACTACTGTACAAACAACCCGAAAACTGGGTAAAACATACATAATACTGTTCGAAAAATGCTGGGTTTTCCTACGGAAAGTATTTAGAAAATTGAGCAGACTAGATGGGCCAAACTGTTCCTATCTGCTGTCACATTCTATGTTTCTAGGTTTCTAAAATAAGAAAATTAAAATAATAATTATTTCAAATTTAATTTCACATGCTGCTAGTTTCTATGATTATTTGTGCTCAGTTGTTTGTGTCTCTATGTATTTGTGAAATTATTTCTGTTATAATGCAAAGTTTACTTATAGGCTGCTGCATGTTTATCTAGATATCATAAGATCACTTGTGTTCTGCTAACAATTAAAACAATATCTGTTTGCTATCCTGTGGACTCCTGTCAATTTTATTTTGGTTCTAAAAATATTTGTAATGAAGGAACTGAAAAGTAAATATGATTTAAAAACTGGCTAATTCTGTGTATGGTTTAGATCCAACACCTATGTAGAAGTATTTCTTTTTCATCTCACATACTATCAAAACAATTTTATAATCAACCAACGTCAAATAAATGGTCATTTTTTAGTCTCTTATCATATATAAATTAAGGGATAAAAAGTATTTAATTTGACAGAATAATATATAGTGTAGTAGTTTATTAAAAATCAGTACTAGACTGTGAAACACTGGCCACTGTATTTTGTTTTGAGCCCAGTGGAGGTCAGTTCTGTTCTCTAGAACATATGTCAGTGGTAGGGTTCTTATAGAAAAATACAGAGTTATTTTGAGTGGAACATTTCCATAGTCTTAATATATATAATATAAATATTTAGCACTTTTAGGATCAATTATCCTTATGATTTTTGGGAAAGTTATTTATATTTACCGTCGTATTCTTTGCCAAAATATATCCATAGCAGTATCACAGCAGGAAACAATGACAACATGAAGAAGGCATGCACACATGCAGTAATCAGAGTCTCTTAAAGTGAACTATACCTTACACTACAATGCTCCCCTACCAGGCTACCAGAGAATGCCCTCCACAACTCCACTGATAACCAGGGATAGCAACCTCATCTAGCCACAAGGTAAGCAGGAGGAGGGCAAATGACAAAACCTCTCCCAAATTTCTTCCCCAGCAGTCAGACATCACACAACACTCTGACTCCCCCCAACATATACACATACACACACACACACACAATACTCAGAATCCTCCACATTCAAAATTCCACCACCACAAACACACTCACACACAGCACTCCACAAATACTTGGTCTCCACCTCCTCCTACCCCACCATACAGCTCTCAGACTCACACATATATAGGGGTATGAGACTTCCCAGTTTGACCGTGTTTTTCCATGTTTTGAAGCGCTGTCTTGACATCTTGTCTGGCTGGTAATTCTGTCCTGGCATCACAGCAGTGGAACTAGTTTAACACAGCCTGCTGTCACAGCACTGCCCTAACACACCATAGGGTTAATGAGTTAAAGGGACACTATAGTCACCAGAACAACTACAGCTTATTGAATTTGTTCTGGTGAGTAGAATCATTACCTTCAGGCTCTTTGCTGTAAACACTGTCTCTTCAGAGAAAATGCAGTGTTTACATTACAGCCTAGTGATAACTTCACTGGCCACTCCTCAGATGTCTGTTAGAGATCCTTCCTGGGTCATGGCTGCCTAAAATGCATCCAAACATTCAGTGCCTCCTCCCTCTGCATGCAGACACTGAACTTTCCTCATAGATATTCATTGATTCAATTCATCTCTATGTGAAGAAGCTGCTTGGCCAGGACTGTGTTTGATTTGTGCTGGCTCTGCCACTGATATGCTTCTTTGTCAGTCTCAGCCAATCCTATGGGGAAGCATTGTGATTGGATCAGGCTACCACTTCTGATGATGTCAGCAGACAACTTGTGTTTCTGAGCCTAACAGCATGCAGAGCTGCAGCTTCAGGCTTGAATACAAGTAAGATTTTGCTATATTTATGGAGGCATGAGGGGCCCTGGGGGGCTAGATGGTGGTTTTAACACTATAGGGTCAGGAATACATGTTTGTGTTCCTGACCCTATAGTGTTCCTTTAAGTTATTTTGTAGGACATAGTAGTTGGAAGGTTAGTTACGTTCAGGCAGAAGTAACTGTGCAAAAGGATGCAAGAAGTGAACACTGGGTGTAGTGATTTAGATCATTATATCACTGGAAGTTCTGTGGGTTTTTATTGGTTCTGTATTGCCAACACCAGTGCAGAGTGGGGCATCATAGAGGCAAAGTCTGTCAGGGTTATTACCTGTGACAATACAGACTAATATCGTCCATGGGGACTTCCACTAACTTGCACAGCTGATCACTATACTAAGTGCTATGACCTGGGCTTGAAGTTCCTTTATCCACCAGCATTAACATTAAAGCAGATCTTGGATATTTACAGCAAGGAAAAAGACAACCAGCTTATTTCTTGGTACAAACAGCAACAACCTTTATTTTCAAACAGCCGCAACCTTTATTTTCAAACAGCAACTGCGAGGCAGATATCTCAGCATGGTGGGAGGCTCTGCATCTTGTGTCATGTTATACATTAAAGTCTCTTTTTGTCACATTTCCCCCCCCCCAAAGAAAGTCCTGCTGCCATGCTGGGACCCTACTGCCTGGGTCACATGCTGCAGGAGGACAGGGCTACCCCTCTATTCTCCTAGACAGTCGATCAGCATTGCCATGTGACAGGCCGTTGCGATATTGGATGGTAAACAGTGTTGGGGATTTCTCCTTATAATTATTTTAAGCTACTGAGCCTTGTGTACCCTGGTAATGCTAACCCAAATTGCCAGCAGGGAAAATGCCCTGTCCAGGACCTAAAAGAGTCACTAAAAGTCAATCTGTTTTTAACTATGCCCCCAGTATTTTTGAACATGGCTTTTGCCTTGAATTATACAGAAAGCTTCATATTATTAGTGTCACTTTGTAGGATTCCATTTGGTTTTCTTGGTCAGTCATGTTTACCACAGCTGTAGATGTCTGACCAGCTGGATACTGAATACCTCTATCCCTATGTTGTTTTATAGTCTTTGGTTTGATGGAATAGCAAGACATCTTGGCCTTGTTGTACTGACTGACGCAGTACCATATAATGTACTTAATAAGGAGGATCTCTGCAATGGTACCCGTGCATATTGCTGCAGCTATAAATAGTACATCAGGAGGTGGATGCGACAAGGTTTTCATTTGATAAACAATAAAATTCACTAAGATTAGTGCAGCTGTCATTAGAACAAATCGTAACAGGCTCTTCCATCAGCAAACCAGAATTTTCCACACTGACTCTTCCTGAAGTATTTACAGATCCTTTGCCAGAGTGGGAGTGCCACCTTCGTGTATGGTGGGTTGAGTGGAACGGTTCACTACCAGTGAATCATTGTCCCGGATGGTGGCTGACAGCACCCTTGGTACATCCTCAAAGTGGGTACCAGTAACGACCGGGGTGGGGCACTTTCTGCGTCTCCTTGGCCGCTGGTGAAGTGGCTAAGTAGTAGCTGTGGCTGAAGGGGTACGCAGTCCGGGAGCAAGTTCTTTGCTTTAACCCCTTGAGCCCGGGTTATGACCTAAACGAAGTAGCACTCCATGGGCCCCTAGGTCGTTCTCATATAACACATCCATAGGAAGGCATGGCAAGACTCCCATCTCCCCCCAGTCCAGCCACACACGGGCCATAGAAATAGCAAGTCGCCCTCCACCAGCAACGGCAATCACTTTGGGTTGGGGCAATCGTGGGACACCTTGTAACAAATGAGGCTTAATAATAGTCAAGCATGCCCCGGTGCCCTGCAGTCCTTCTGCAGGAATGCCATTTACCAGCAATCGCTGGCAGCGGCTTAGATCATCTCTGCACTGCATGGTCAGTACCGGCATCACTCCTAGGGACCAGGTGGGCCAGTCTGAACAATCCTGGTACTGGTCCACTTCCTCCTGTCCCAACATATTTCTCAGGATCAGACGCTCCCACCATCTGGACCAGTGGAGCCGGGTGATTACATCCACGGGCCTGGGTGGGACAGTCTCTCACAAAATGCCCCTGGTGCTGGCACCCATGACAAACAGGCTGGTGCATTTTCCCTGGGACTCTTTGTGGGCCCAATGGCCCCTTTGCTCCCTTTCTGGGACGTTGACCCAGACTGCAGCTGCAGAGGCTGTAGTGGGCTTCTGGTCTTGGGTCCACTGTCACACCTCCGCCGGCAAGAGGTGGTAAAATTGCTCCAGCAGCACAATCTGTTTACAGTCCTCCTGGGAGTGCACCTTACTCCCGGTCCACCATCCCTGAAGGGCATGGGTCAACCTCCAGACACACTCTGGCCTTCTGGAGTTGGCTGGATCTCCCTGGAACTTTACCCTGTAGGACTCTGGGGTGACAAAGTACCTGTCCCCCCATTTCTCTCTGCAGGCCTCCAGGGCTCGTCCCATCAGTCTCCCATCCAGTACCGCACCCAGTCATCTGGAGGCAAGTGATTGAGCTCACATTGCTGCTCAAAGTCCTGCAGGAACCTATCTATATCATCTTTTTTATCATCAAACATAGAAAAGCTTTGTACTGATACTTTGAGATGGGGACCCTCTGTCTGGCTAGACGGGGAAACCATGGCTGCGGTCACATTCACCTGGTGATCATGATCCTCGCGGGCTAGGTCCTCTGCTGCAATTGCTAGCAGCTCCCTCAGGCTTACTTGGCCGCCTGTGGCATCCTTGTAGTCCTGCATTCTCTGGGCCAGTCTGATTGCTCGGATTGACATTGCAGGAGCGATGCTGGAAGCCTCTGGTTGTGGTTCAGATACTCCATTCTGCTGCTTAGCCATGTTGCATCTCTCAGCAGAGCTCAGAGCTCTGGTGTACATCTCCGGTCAACTTTAGCCTCCTCAGATCACTGTACTGCAAGTTATCCCACCTCTGCCACCAGTTTGTGACGATACAGACTAATATCGTCCGTGGGTACTTCCACTAACTTGCACAGCTGATCACTATACTAAGTGCTATGACCTGGGCTCCCTTTATCCACCAGCATTCACATTAAAGCAGATCTTGGATATTTACAGCAAGGAAAAAGACAACCAGCTTATTTTTCGGTACAAACAGCAACAACCTTTATTTTCAAACAGCCACAACCTTTATTGTTAAACAGAATAGAATAAGTAGGAGTGGAGCATAGAACTTATTCTATAGAACTTATTCTATTCTTTTATGTACATTATGTGTCTTTGAGGGTATCACATTCTGAGTATATCAGCAGCAATATAAGAATCATACCAACTCTAAATAGCAACTTAAAAATCTTTTTTTCTTAAAGATAATTATTTCATTTATTTTTAAACAGCAACTGCCAGGCAGATGTCTCAGCATGGGGCGAGGCTCTGCATCTTGAGTCATGTGACAAATGAAAGTCTCTTTTTGTCACATTACCTAAACTAAAGAACTCAAAATTAATTTCAAATATCAGGTCAAAGTAGCTGAGATGTAAGAATGCTCTATGCTATCAATTCATCTACTGTGGCCTTAAATGTTCCCTTTGAGTTCATTTTGAATTCTCCCTTTAGTAAATTACTCTATGAATGGTAACATTGCATGATGCGGAACACTCTTGCACTACTCCATCCCCACCCTGTAGTTACTGTGCAGCACATGGAGGTTGTCCGTGCCTTCTTGCTGATACTGTCATGGTGGGGGTTAGTTCTCACACCCTAGATATTGCTTAGGCAACCTTCAGCACCCCAGGTGTTGTGGACTACATCTCCCCAGATGCTTTGCCAGCATTAGGGCTGCAAGAGCCTTATGGGAGATGCAGTCGACAACATCTGGCGTGCCGAAGGTTGTCTACCCGTGCCTTAGGGGAACCAGAAGGATACTTGGCATTCTTATCACACCTTACATCTCATAACATTGATCAAATTGTGTTCTTTCTAAATAACTATGAAACTATGCTGTAATCAATTGCAGATTCCCTGTGTGTTGTAACAAACTTTAAAATCCTTCTGTGATGTTGTAACCTTAGCTATGTGTTTATCTCATAAAAATACTGGTTAAACAAATGGAAGCCCCCTGCCACAGCCATAATATTCATCTTTAGACTAAAAGCAGGAGATTGAGAAACTATAGATTTTAGCACCAAATCACATTCTGTGAAAAAAATAATTATCTCAGGAATCGTCCAAAGTGCACACATCACATGCTAATAAAGTTTCTTTTTTTATATTGTTGGTAAAATGTGACTGCCAAGGGATCTATAAACAAGGGCTGAACAGGAAGAGAGGCTTTAAGAAAGGATGTGAAAAAGTCACCACAAAGAGTATTTACAACCTATAAATCTGCTTGTTAATTTCATGTTATCAAAACCAATTATGCTGCACTTCTTTTCAAACGACGTATGATGCAATGTTTAGTCAAGGGCTAATCATCTGTATAGCCCATTAACACAAATAAATAAAACTAGCAATTTGCTTGAATTTTACTTTGATTCAAATTTTACTGTTCCTATAGAAATGCAAATAGCTTTGTTAATCCATTGAGCCCAAGTAGGGACGTGAGACAGCGTGCTATTCTTACTTTAGACAACTAACTAGTTAAAAAAGATCCCTATTTGTAACTGAAATATATAATTTGTTTGTGGAATCTCAATAAAGCTGTGATTGGACAATTTAATTACCAGACTGGTGAATGTTTATGATGCATGTGAGGTTACAATGTTTATGTTCTATTTTGCTAACTTAATGTTAATTTGCGAGTCTTAGATGGTATAATTAAAGCTATATTTTGTTTCCAACATCAACAAAACATTAATTACAGCCAATGGATGATAGGATCAGCATTAAAGTTTTAAAGATGTTAAATAAATCCTTAAATTAATGCTATAGGCTCAATGGTCATTACATTAGTTACACTTCCTCATTGATGCAAATAGCCAAACAGTAAATAATGTAGACGCAATTATTTTACAAAGCATGAAAGCATAGTCCAGAGGGTTTGTCTTTAAAATCTAGAAGACTAGGAAAAATTGACTTTGATCATTATGCAAGGCGACATTGTGACTGCCAAAAAGATTGGCTAAAGATTAGAAGGTTGGCTAAAGATTAGAAAGGTATTGCTCGATTTAACAAACATTGATTTCAAGGGCAACATAGAAAATGCATGGCACAAAGAAATTTGAGCACACCCAAAAGATACGATGAGTAAAATAATGTCAAAATCCCAAAAGGGCCCCTTCAGGCTGGATTTGACCCATTCTTTTTCAACGCATATAGACAAGTGGTTTCCACTCCATTTCTCCAAGCACATCAATGCTTTAGATTTTGTCAGTATGGCTGTTGGAACAAAATTGGACTTGAAGACCGAGTTGGGAACCACTGTTATAATTAATACATTTGAATAGCAACTAAATATTACATAGATATTTAAAGTTCCTTTTTTTGGTCCATATCTCATCACATTACTTTATCAGTCTTGAGCTTTGTTGTCTCAAGGAGGGAAGTAGCCTGGCCTATCACAAGCCTCTCGTTCTGGTATTAACTAACACTAGTTTTGATGGTTTAAAGGAACACATTAGCATTAGAAACCTATATTCCTAATGCTGTGTTATGTCCGGTCCCTAACCTGTGTCATTCACCTGTGGTCATGAAATGGTTTAGGTTTCCCTTTTTTTTTCACTTGCCTAATGCGCATGAGCATGTAGGGCAACCTAAAGCATTTGCACTTATTTTAGAACTACCATATGAATCTACCACTAAATCAATGCTTTTCTTTGTGCTTATTGAATAAGTCAGACGTCCTCGCTCTTTTCATGAGGACATCTAACTTCTTCAATGTCGTTTCATGTAGTTAAACTCAGTTAGAGAGCAGGAAGAAAGCCACTAGAAAGAGCAGCAAGACAGCCACTAGAGGTTGTCTTAACCCTGCAATATAAAGATTGCAGTTTCTGTGATGAAGTGGCCTGAATACCTATAATGTCCCTTTAACTTCGGTCAAATAAGACAACTCACAGTGCTTAACTGAGGAATTATTTTCATTATAAGTATGTCAGAGTATAGTTCATCTTTTTAGGACGAATTGTAGGAATGTAGCAAGCAAAGTGTTGAGCTTCTTTTGCCTCAAGCAGTTACAATATGAGTAGAGCAAACTGTATCGCCCACAAGGTGCAAAAAAAACAAAAAAAAATGTGTAAAAAATTGGCAGTCTCACACTTTAGCGTCTTCCTAATTTTTATTTTAAAATTGTCCATATGATCAGGTGCTTCAAAATAAAAACTGGTGAAAAATAATATCTAAAGAAAAGCATTACCTTTAATGAGTTATGCAGAGCCAATTGTAGGTTTTATGACAAATAACCACTGTGGTATAATTGGGAATGTCTTCACATGACAGAGTAAAACACACGCATACATGGTTGCCCATGGCAAATACAGTTGCAAACAAAATTATTCAAACCCCATTGAAAACCAGGTCTATTGTCAAAATGTACAGTCTTTCAGCTGTTTGCAATGAACAAATCAAACAAAAGCAATTAAAATAGCTCCACACAATGAATGCTTCAAGCGGTTACCCAAAATGCAACTGAATTTGCAACTTATAACATTATAACTTATAACACTATCTAAAATGCTATTTTTGGTCAAAAATTTGTGAAGCTGTCTATATTGTTCTTCTCTCAGTCAGCTATGCTTTTGGTTTGGCTACTTTGACCTTATATTTGAATTTCACATTCAAATGCCAACAATTATTACTTTAATAAATAACCCTGTTAAAACGTGCATATTTAGCGTGTCTAGTATACAACTTGTATACTAGACAATACAGTTATGCAATGTGTGTCATAAATTTTACCATTTACTTGTACACAAAAAAGTACATGTACATGCAAACATAAACACATATACAAAGCAGCAAATGGCTGATTGACATCTACAATGTAGAATTTTAGGCTTCTCTATAAAGGAACCTGGTTAATGGTTTTCTAGAACACAGGTATCGTCGTCCTCCCAGGATATGACATGGTGTGATAGACCTCTGGGGGCTCAATGCAACCTGGATATCACACAAAGAAAACCAAATAACCTTTCAAGTTGAATTTCCTTTTAAGACTATGAAGAAATAGCCTGTAATTAGTGTAATTGTTTGTAATTAGCCTCTACAGGCAGCTTTGTAAGTAGCTAGGGAACTTGGCCATTCCGGGTTAATAACAATATCAAGGGAGGCTTCTATCCTAATTACAACCATGCATGCAGAGCTGGGAGTTGACATTTGGTTATGCCAATAACGCCCTTAGTGTGAAATAATCAATTTAGCGAGTGGATATTGAGGGATTATTTTATTTTTTTCATTCCTGTTTTCCAGTTATCCCAACTAGCTTGAGCAATTCAAACATGCTAAAAATGGTAGGGAAGGAGGGCAGCTTTCATTTTTATGTTGTGCAGAATGTTCTGCCAATTTCACATCTGAACTGATGCCGCTGGACCAGAAGTTACTCTGCTGCACTTTAATGGAGTCCCAAAACTGGAACATCAAGACATCAAAGGCACTGGTGGCATGTCATTAATAAAACAAACTATTCATTTGTTTCTGCCTTAGAGGCAATCTGACTATTTATTGTCACTGACTAATTTGCACTATGTGAGTACTTGCTCTTACTAGTTGTGCTGGCTAGAAGGCAAGGTAAATTATGTTTTACACAGAGTCACTAAGGAACAAATCCTTTTAAAAGGGGATTAGAAGGCAGGGTTGGTTGATTGCTCATACTAGTTCAGATGAATATTTGGCAAACACCAAAGCAGTATTCAAATGGTTACATTTGTAGCACGCTCAAATGACATAGG